AATACTTTGTCTCTCATTATAAACACTGTTACAAGACCTTTCCTCCCATTAGCACCTTGCGTGTCTGATATCTTTGGGATGTTTAAGGTGTCCTCCACTCTGAAAACAGATACAGAATATTGATTTAAGTTATATGTCATTTCCCCGTTCCCTGTTATCAACCCCCCAGTCACATCCTCCAAGGTCCCATACCCATGTTACTTTCTTTTTATATGACTGTAGAAGCTTTTGCTGTTTGTTTTTATATTTCTTGACAATTTATTTTCAGTATGCAATTTTCCCCCTCTTTATTCACAAATTAGTCATCTGCTGCTGGTTCCTCAAAAATTCCCATCCTCTGGTCAGCACGAGTTTTTGCTGCTTTGTATGGCTTTATTTTTGATTGGACTCTTTGACTGCCTTTGTTAACCATGGGTGGTTCATTCTTCTTATTGGGTCTTTCTTTTTGACTGGAACAAATTTTTGCTGAGTGTAATGAAATATCTTCTTTACATCTACCAATGTTCTTTCCTTTTGTCGAATTTCTTAGCGTGCTTTGGACAGCTCTTTCTGAAATCATCCTTATTTAGGTTGAAGTCACTGGTTTGAGACCTGAGTAGCTCTCATCAAACTGAATTTCAAGTCTACCGTGTTATGATTGCTGATCCTTCGATTATCTTTAAGTGTGAGATTTCTTATTAATCCTACCGCATTATGCATATCGAGATCTAAAACAGCCTGTTCCTGGGCAGATTCTGTAACACACTACTGTAAGAAGCAATCATAGAATCCCATTCAGCCCATCGAGTTCACACCGCCCCTCCGAAGAGCACCCACCCAGACCCATACCCCCGATCCTATCACCCTGCATTTCCCATGGCTAACCCACATATTCCTGGATACTAAGGGCAATTTAGCACAGCCAATCCACTTAACCTGCACATCTTTGGAATGTGGGAGGAAACTGGAGTACCCAAAGGAAATCCACGCAGACACAGGGAGAATCTGTGTGGAGTTTGCACACAGTTGCCTGAGGTTGGAATTGAACCAGGATCCCTGGTGCTGTGAGGCAGCAGTGCTAACCACTCAGCCACCATGCCATCCCAATCCTGGGTGCACCCTACAAATTGTCTTCCATGTTAGCCTTGCTTATCTGATTTGTGCAGTTAATGTGCAGTTTAAAATCACTCATGATAACTAGTGCCTTTCTTACATGCCTCCATTATTTCCTGATTTGTACTTTGTCCTACAGTGAGGCAACTGTTTAGTGGCTTTGAGACAATTCCAATACATGACTTTTTTCCCTTCCTATTCCTTATTTCCACCCAAACTGATTGCACATCACAATCTGTTGTACCTGCGGAACTGTTCACCACCTCACTTATACACTGCTTTATTAACAAAGCTCCCCCACATCAATTCCCTTTTTGCCTGGTCTTGAATAGTCTTGAATATTGAGCTAAAACTTGGTTAGCCTGCAGCTGCTTCTTCATAATAGCTATCAATTCATATTTATGTATTTCCATTTGAGCAATCATCTTATCAATTGAAGTACAGTTCTATGACTGATTTCCTGTATCCCAGCACTGACATTTTTATCAGAATGGAGTGACAGTTGGCAATTAACAGCTAAATCTGATTGTGAATGTACTCGGTACCCACCACTTCTGACCAGGAGCTGGAACACAGACACTTTCCTGTCCTTTCAGGGGATGATCTTATCACAGGATAAGCATTTATTGCCCCGTCCCTAGTTGCTCCTTGAGAAGGTGGGGGTGAGCTGCCTTCTGAACTGCTACAGTCCAAGTGCTATAGGTAGACCCACAATGCCCTTAGAGAGGAAGTTCCTAGGAACAGAAAGTGACAGAGGGGAGGTTTAGATGAGTAGAATGGAATTGTAGAGGGAGAGATAGGATGGACAGAAGGAGCAGTTTCTGTTAGTGGAGAGATCAGCAGTCAGGGAAATATAGATTTGGCGGTAAATAGAAGAATTAGGGGAGTGCTTTTGAAATGCTTTTCCATCCAAGGTCTGCAGCTCCACTTAAAGAGTGGTGCAGGCAGCAACCTTGAAGGAAATCTTGGATCTGTGCTAATCTGAGTTGGGATCAATAGCTGGCAAATCCGAAAGGTCATGATCTGGCCTATATGTGACTCCAGGCTCTCAACAATGTGGTCAATTCATGACTGGCTTCTGAAATGGCCCAACATGGCAATCTGTTGTATAAATTGCTAAAAAGTCTCGAGAAAAGAATGAAAAGAACCAGACTACATGGCAGAAGAAAAGACAACGGCAGAAATAGCCCAGTCGACACTGCAAAGTCCTCCTCACTAACATCTGTGGGTTAGTGCCAAAATTGGGAGAGCTGTCTCACAGACTAGTCAAGCAACAGCCTGACATAGTCATACTCACAGAATCATACCTTACAGATAACGTTCTAGTCACTACCATCCCTCTCCCTGGATATGTTGTGTCCCACCAGCAGGACAGACCCAGCAGAGGTGGTGACACAGTGGGACACAGTTGGGAGGGGGTTGCTCTGGGATTCCTCAACATTGACTCTGGACCCCATGAAGTCTCTTGGCTTCATGTTAAACCTGGGCAAGGAAACCTCCTGCTGATTACCACATACTGTCCTCCCTCAGCTGATGAATCAGTACGCCTCAATGTTGAACAACACTTAGAGGAAGCACTGAGGATGGCAAGGAAACAAAATGTACTCTGGGTGGGGGATTTCAATGTCCACCACCAAGAGTGGCTCGGCAGCAGGACTACTGATCGAGCTGGTCAGGTCCTAAAGGACATAGCTGCTAGACTGGGTCTGCGGCAGGTGATGAGGGAACCAACAAGAGGGAAAAACATACTTGACCTCATCCTTACCAATCTGCCAGCTACAGATGCATCTGTCCATGACAGTATCGGTGAGAGTGACCATTGCACAGTCCTTGTGGAGACAAAGTCCTGCCTTCACATTGAGAACAACCTCCATCATGTTGTGTGGCACTATCACCGTGCTAAATGGGACAGACTTCGCGCAGATCTAGCAACTCCAGACTGGGCATCCATGAGGCGCTGTGGGCCATCAACAGCAGCAGAATTGTACTCCAGCACAATCTGTAACCTCGTGGCCCGGCATATCCCCCACTCAACCATTACCATCAACACAGGGGATCAACCCTGGTTCAATGGAGTGTGCAGGAGGGTATGCCAAGAGCAGCACCAGACATACATGAAGATGAGGTGTCAACCTGGTGAAGCCACCAAACAGGTTTGCACGCCAAAAAGCATAAGGGGCAAGTAATAATCAGAGCTGAGTGATCCCTCAACCAACAGATCAGATCTAAGCTCTGCAGTCCTGCCATATCAAGTTGTGAATGATAGTGGACAATTAAACAACTCACTGGAGGAGGAGGTACCACAAATATCACCATCCTCGTCCTCAGTGTTGGGGAGCCCAGCACATCAGGACAAAAAATAAGGCTTAAGCATTTGCAACAAACTTAGTGGGGACAGGTCTGTCGCTGTGTAACACTGGGGTACAGTACCGGTG